CTGTTTTACATATGCTACTCACTGTTCTTTGAAGTGCAGAAGATGCTGTTTGAGGTGAGACATACCCAAAGAAAAGCCCTTAAAGTCCTTAATTGGATAATTATAACTATCAGAGGCTAGTTTTTAATCAACTCAACTTTTCTGATGGGGAAGAGGGATGAAGAGGCCATGTCAGGTACTCCCTCTTCTTTGCAGTTAGTGACATTTTTAGTCTTGTTTCCTGACTATATATAGACAAGGAGAACATCTTAATTGGGATCTGCTATTTTTCAAATAATTCAGTGAGCACTGCACATGAAATAATTCCCAAAGCTTTATTCAGGACACGGGATCTCATAGTGCTTGGTACTGTACAAAAAACAGAACAAAACACAGCCCCTGCGTTGAAGAATTGAACCTACTTTAAGACATGGGGAAGAAAGGACAGAGATGGGGACAGGGCTAAGAATAGGTCTGTACCCTGGGTAGTTATGTGCACAGATTGATGCGTGTGAGATTGCTTATGGAAGCAGGTTAGCAAACAGAGATAAGCCAAAAACTACCCAACTCAGCCTCAGCTGGCAGTTTCCAGGAGGCTCAACAGGAAAGAGGTCTCAAGAAAAAGCAGTTTCTTCAAAAACATGGGAGAGTAGTTCTATCTAAAAGGGTTGGTGTGGGAGGATGAAAGAGTGAAGGACAGAGACGGGCAGCTAGAGAGGGAGGTGAGGGGAGGAGATTCTCTTTTGCTGGGTCAAAGAAAGACACAGCTGCTTCTATGCATAAGCTATTGCATATAACAAGTTACCACCTTGAACTAGCATTACAGCAGGTGCAACACAAATAGCAACTTTTTGCTCCTTACAAATACCCCAGCAATACAGACTTGCCTCTTCCCAGCATGCGTTTCTGAGGACCAGCCCTTAAATCAGGCACAGGCAAACAGGTGCAACTTCTAAGCAGCTATTTTACAACCAGCAGCTCTAGACTGCTCCTTATTTTGATTATACTATTACAGTCCGAAGCCTGCTCCCAGCCACATATCCAGCAGATATCTATGGTATTGGAAAAACTGAGCAATTCTTGTGATATTCGAGGTAATCATTGCCCAATAATTGTTGTCTGACAAATAACTTTTTTTCTAAGTGTCTGTCATGTAAAGCAATTCTTACCTGCAGACTCTGTAGGAGAATCTTTGGATGAAGTTGATTCTTCTGAAGGAGTGGTTGCTTCTGACGGCAGCTGCAACTCGGTGGGAAGAACTCCTCCGTTATGAGCTAGTGTTTGGGCAGCCAATTGAATGTTGCCTTGAAAGACTTTTAGAGCTTCCTCAGCTGATTCCCGATCAAAACCCATGTACACCAACTAGTCAAGAAACAAACTGTAAGTCTGGGAGGCTGATTTACAACTATAGGTCTGCACCACAAGCAATAATGGGTATTTACAGGAATGTGACTGACCTCAGGACCACCCATCCCTTTACAGTTAAGTGTGACAGTAGTACTAAGGAAATCTGTAGTAATTTCTGACATGGGGCTGGGGGCCTGAAAACTACAGAGTTGTTGTGTGGGAGCTCAGAGCTGAGGATACAGAGCAAAAACAGGGCTTTTTGATGACTGGGCTGAGCAGATAAAGCATTTAATTTAAAACAGGAAATCTGAACCCTATCAATTTGAACATGCCTGTTTATTTCCTCATTTATGAGTTCTATGAAGCACTGTCTATCTTTTCTCCTCTATCTTTGCAATGAATTGGGGGAGATGCCGCTGCATGTTCTCAGCTGCTGATATTGACCTGATTACTGAATAGCACCAAAGCAAGGCAGTTACAACAGGGAGAAAGGTAGGCATTTTGGCTCTTCCCCACAAATACTACGTTCAGTATCTGCATTCTTGTTTTCATCCCTGGTCCAGCACATCATGACAAAACAGAATTTTATCTCCACCTCTGAACATGCAATACTGGCAGGACCCCAACACCTTAATCAGCAATATGCATGCCCCAGAACTTTACTGGCTTCTTTCCCCTCAAGTGACAAAGATCAGTGGGGAGTACAACACCTGCAAAGATTTGCAAAAGAAGATCTAATGTGGCTGTTTAACTGGCTAATGGGATGAAATAGCACTTTTGGTATAAACATGGTCTACTTTTTCAAAATCAAGCTACAATGCAGTCTTAGGTTTCTTAAGGTAAAACTTACCTGGTCAATACTTTCTTTAGGAACCTGAAACTGGTTCATTGTCACAGGATTGTTGTCATCATTTTCCAAGAATAACTGAGGATTACTAACAAGAATCTAAATAGAAAGGGGTACATAAGTAATACAGCTGTGTCATTCCTCCATGCAGACACACATTATAATTAGAGGCTGGGAAAAGTTCTATTAAGTTCATGAACTAAGGTTCCTTCTAGACTTTCCAAAGATTAAGTGTAGTAAAAAGCTGAAAAATCAGAGCACCCTTCTCCTGTAAAAGCAGAGCAATTAAAAAGGTAATTGTGTATACCACAAGAGAGATCCTTACTATTCTGATAGATCAGTGATCCTCAAACAGGATGCTGCAGCACTCTATGGTGCCTTGAGATTGTTCCAAGGGCACCACAGGGTGCCACAAAATGTTGGCACTGTTAATTATGCAAACATGATTCACAAGATAAATCTAGAGATTTCAAACAGGAATCCACAGGGTTAAATAACTCTGACCTGTTGTAGTCTGAGTTCTTTGCAACAGAATAATTGCTCTATTATATTTTCATAGTTAAAAAAAAAAAAGAGGGAAAACTAAGACCTGATGTTTTCCAAGAAGTGCCTCAAGCCTAAAAAGGCTGAAAACCACTGTGCTAGGTATATATATTTGGCTTCTCTGTCACTTCTTTTGAGCCACAAATCGCCCCAGGAGAAGGAGGAAGATTCCCTACCAATTTGTGCTGCTGTCCTGTCTTAAAATACTTATGCTATATCATGAGATATGGATGATGCTCTAAGGGAGGTGACTGAAAAGGCCTAAAAGAGCTCACTGTTGGAAACTTGGGCTGATTTGTGAACCTGAATCTCTTCTCTTAATGCGTTCCATTGTTCCTTTACAGCCTCCTTATATTGTTGTAATTCATCTCTCCTGGATGCCCACACACTCAAAATACTAGTAGACAACTGGCCAAATAAACCTGGTGTAATTATGCTAAGTTCTAGTGTTCATACTTTATTTTCAGTCTTTCCATGTAGAATGAGAGAAAAGTGGTGCTAGAAGGGACCTCAGGAAGTCAGATGCATCATTTTGGTCTGTCCTAAAATCCTTTTGCTACTCCTCTGAGATCCATCTTGGACAGTCTTCTCTGCATGGCCATGAGTGAGAGTTAATATGCTGTTCTAACTTCTCTATAGGAAACTGTATATCTAAATGTGTTTAGCTTTTATGTCAATATGGGAAACACAAATATTCATCTGTTAGAAAGAGAATGACATACTAGTGCAGGGGGCAAAATAGCAGATCTGGCAGACAGCCAGACTCCACTTGTAAGCAGCCCCTGCCCCAAGCTGTCATGGCCCCACTGGTCCCAGGGTCTCTTGGGAGACTGGCCAGGAACAGTGCAGGCAGGGCATGCAGTTAGGTGAGGAGCTACTCTGGGTCCAGGATCGTGTGGTGGTACTATCATAGGGTGCGGGCAGAGCCACAATCTGCTCTCTGCACACCCCTGCCTGCAGAACCCACGCTTGTTGCAGGGACGTACAGAAGATCATGGCTCTGCCCCAGCCCCACCACACCTACCCATCTCACTCCCAGTCACAGCCCCATCCCAGCCGCCTGGCCACGTGCCCTTCCTGCGTGGGTCCTGCTCCTGGCAGTGGGTATGGGGTGGATGGGCTGAAATCCCCAGGCAGCAGGGCTGGGGCTGGCAGCAGCAGCCAGGAGCTGCCACCGCAGGGGCTGCTGGGAAATGGAGTCCGCCAGGGCCCCAATCCAGCCCGTGGACTGCATTTTGCCTACCCCTGCACTAGTGGGATCAGCAGAGAGGAATTGAGCCAGCCCAACTGGTCACTTTATGATTTTAAAATCTGACCCTCTATTGACTGCCTGTTCATTTTTAGGTAGCATTTAAGTGGGTGGCTGATTTTACAATATCTTAAATAGCTTGGAACGCACATACTTGAAACTTCTCCCGATGGGATACTCTAATAGAAATACTCAGGTTGGAACCCTTTCCTAAGAAACTTTGAGGTTTTCATTCCCTGGTAGATCCTGAACAAGAATTTGTTAATTTTCAGGGCTTTCTTGGAATTAAAGATGGATAAAATCTGGTATGTTAGGGGGAAGAGTGTGTTTATATATTTTAATCTTGGATTAATTTTTGGATTAATTTTTGATACAGTGAAACTAGCCTCCTGATTCTGGACTTCTTTGTATTTCTTTTATTTTATAAGTATTGTTAAACTGCCCAGAATGGTTGTACATATATGAAAAAATAGTAAAGTGTTGCCCTTTTAACAGTTTAGGGAGTACTAGTTTAATCCTGTAGGAAGCTAAAAATAACCAAGTCTGAAAAATCACACAGGCTTGCCAGGATGATTTTTATCACTTTGTATGGATAAAGTCCATTGGATAGCCCCAAATTTGGAGGTCGTTTACCTGAAAAGCATTATCCAAGTTTCCATTTGCTTGATGAAGAGCCTTCTGAGCAGCTCGCTCTGAATAGCCCATGTTTTTCAAAGTATTTATGTCCTCCTGTCGTTGCCGCCTCTTTTTTCTTTCCTCTCTCCTTATTTCTGCCTTTGTCTATAAAAGCAGAGTCATTAAAAAGCTAATTGTATAAAAGAGTTAATCTACCAGAGGATTGCAAGATCATAGGAAAGTAGGGACCTCATGAAGTCATCTAGTCCAGCCCTATACTCAAGGCAGGTTCATCTTTGGCTAGACCATTCCACTGATGGATCACTACTACTCTGATATTTACTTGACTTCTCCTGGGGGTAATGGTAGGAAAATTTCCTCTGAGCTGCTGAAAAATCTCCAGCATCTACGGTAGCCATTAAGGTTGGATTTTCTCAGGATCAGGCCCTTGTTTATTAAGCTCACAGTGGTCCTAGTCTAGTAAGTATTAGATCAGATTTATAGATGGATATGCTACAAGTGGTCGAGTGACTTGTCCAAAGTTAGACAAGGTGGGTAAATCGGATATCTTTTATTAGACCAACCAAAATACTTGGAAAAATTCTTCTAGGCAAGCTATCGGGTACAATTACCCTTCATTTGGCAGAGGAAACATCTGTAGATGGTCCGTGCTCTTCCTGGATGGAGTAGTAAAGCAGCCGGAGGCCAGTATGTATGCAAGAAAGCCCATCAGTTAAAATGTAAATTGAGGTGGTCAGTAGGTGAGAGACAAGTGGCCTTAGACCAACACTGCTATAACCTACAGCAGGGGTTGGCAACCCCTGGCATGTGTGCCGAGCATGGCATGTGAGGCCATTTTCCTCGGCACACGTTGGGGCTGGGGAGGCAGCAG